ATGTACTTAGAAGGGACTGTTGGGATTTCAATATCACTAGAGACAGCTCAAAGTGGATGAGAAGGGACTTTCGAAGCATGAACTATGACAACAGCAAAAGAAGTACGACCTCAGCCGACCCACCGATCCGAGAAACGGGTCATCGTCGCATCCGCACAAGGTTTTAACTTTCGATCCGGAAGGAGGGAGCCGTTCAAGTCTAGAATTGGAGCCTAAAGATTATTTCAAATCGTTACCACTTTGTCACTTTCGCGAGATTTCAGGCACCTATTCATCGACAAGATTAACAAATAGCAGGAACTCTCCGCACTACTCCATCCCGACTGAAGAGTTCTCTCTTCTATAACTCTCGTGCTAGTACGCCAGCCTGGAGCTGTGCGATGTGAAGGCAAATAACAAACAACTACTAACTCGCTAAGAGTAGCAGCGAACCGATAAAGGAGAATTCGTAAAAAAAGAAAAGAAGGCCAGCAGTTTTGGTTGAAGCTATCGACGGTGGTAAGAGTACAACATTGTCCGCCTAAGCCTAAGAGCCTCATCACGCCGAGTGATCTAAGCCTTATCCGGCACGACAAGGCAAAAATTACTTGTATTCTTTCCACGGAGCATGGACTGCGTCCTGGACGGCAAAACGAGACTACCTTTGACATTTACTCTGACCTTTTCATCAGCCATGTATGCTTGCCAACATACTGCCTGGTTGAAGTATAAAAAGCATAAACGCTTTCTTCACTACTTTTTTGCTTGCGAAGAGCGACATACACCTTGCGCCCGAATCGTTCATACTTCATGTTATATTGCTGACCCTACAAGTACTCAATAGAATACTAAAAAGCAACGAGTTAGTAAGTAAAGTATAAGAATGACCAGACGATGATAATTTTTTCCCATAAAAGGAATGCATTCTGGTGAACCCGGAATGATTTCAGATCTTTATGGGAGCACCTCTGAAGAACGAAAAACGATTGACGAAATACTCAACAAGCTGGAAGAACTGCATATTGGTCTTACGCCTATTATTCGAGCCACACTCACGAAAAACTACGAAGAACGGGTGACTATCCATTAAATATGTATTCTTCTTTCTTTTCTTACTTCCCATATTCTGTTTTTACCCTAGATCAGAAATGAAAAGATAAAACCTTCGACGTCAAGCTATCCCATCGAGGGATGCGCCCTTTTATTCGGCCTACATTCGGAATCGTAGTGGCGGATGTTTAAATGGATATGTGATCTACATATAAAATGACTTGGGGTGGTCAGCCGTGTAAAAGTCAGTGACTTTATACTCTGAGACGAATGGCACCAACTAACCGACCCCAGAAGGAGTGTTGGTTTAAGCTAGCATCGATCCGGGATTCAAACCGAGTACCATACATGTGTGTTGTTGTGCTGCTTGGTGCTGCACTGCCTCCAGCCTCATCCTTGTTCATGTGGCTCAATTCCTGCAATCCAAAAGGTGGATGCTTTAACATCTACTGGATTTTGAACTAGTAATGCTTACTGTGTGTGCAGCACTCGCAGTTACATATATAGGGGATACAAAGCAGGATGAAAAGTATCAAGAATGAGTATTAGAGGTGAGATCAACTTATACCAGCTCCTAAGAACGAAATATGACTAGGTATCTCATTAGAATCGTGTTTTCTAGCGTGAGGTCTGGAACGAATTCAAGAACACCGCTCTCTTCCCTTGCCTTCAAAAGTACGACGATGAACTCAAAGGTAAAAGATATCTCGTTGGATCGAAGGTGAGTTTCACAAGATTCAAACCCTTTGATCTTATCGAGAAATGATACGCCTGCTTGTTTCTTCTATCGCTTTTTTAACGTCAAGAATATAAGCAAGAATACGTTCGTTCGGATTCTTTATTAATACAAGCCAGTGACGGTTACCTGTTGCTCCGAGCACGGTTCTGAAATCCCTCCTACGACTACTCGTGGGGTAGTAACACCAGGGCCTCTGAAACTTCCCAACAATTTCCTGCTCGTTTTGGCCATTTAATCAGACAATCAAATAGATGAACATTGCCAGTCAAGCTGCGGATGTGCTCAAAGTATAATAATAGTCCGCGAAATCGATTTCATGAGGTGAATTTCTATTTCTGATCCTTTCAGATCTCATGGGCCGACATCGCACTCATTGAGATGCTTACTCGATATCAAAGCTGCTATGACAGCTTCTACTTGGCGCATTTCCCTATTTTGAAAGAGTTCTGTGATCGTTTCGAGGCACTGCCCCACATGCGCCCATACATTCAGTCACGGCCGGATTCCCACTTCTAATACCTTTCTAGATCCACAGGCTTTACAATATGTGTTCGAGTTAGCGGGAAGAAACCTAGCCACTGTTTAAAGGACTAGACTACTTCCTTCCCGAAAGAGAAAAGGGAATGATTTAGCCGGTGCCCCTATCGCAGGATTAGTTGTCTCAATTCGTCTGCATTTTTATCGTGTTAGCCCAATGTTTTCATTGACAGGCTTCTTCCGAGTTGATTTATGGCAACTACTATTACTAACTAATATTATTATTATCATCTAGCTGCTTTCTTTAACCCAGACCTGAAATTGCCTCAGAGGAAGCCCGACCTCAACTAAACACTACTGATCATGTGAGTGATATCATGTAAATTCGATATATTTCATAGAAATATTGAGTAGTGTCGGTCTCTGACCTCATTGTACAAAAAAAAACGATATTCCTTGTATTACTTTGAGATTATTTCAAACCCATTAGAAGTTATACCATTGTGTACATAATACTTGGCTTATTTCTTGTATAAAAATCAATGAAGATTGCTACCAGCGTTGTTCAATGTCAGCCACGATATCATCGTCGTAAATACTATGTTTAGGCTTCTCTTCAGCATGACAATCCACTGCCCATTATTAGGTACATTACACTAGAACCCATTTTATTGTCAACGACACCCATCTCTCCACCCGTTGTGCTTACATCTGACCACTAGCTGTTTGGGTATTCCTATACACTTCTCTCGCTAAATGGTGGACTGGCAAGTGGCGCACTTCCACAAACGCATGGTCTCGGGTCGAATCAAGGTTCGATAAACGCCCAACCAAGGCTTCCATCCCACCGGGGTTCATTGTTACCAAACTTGTCTTGGGACTGAAACTCAGACTGAAACGGAATTGAAACTTTAGTTTGATAACACTCAATTGTAATGGAAGCAAAAGATAATCAATTCACCGAGGTAGGCCGCGTACTGAAATTTGACGCCAAATATTAGAGGAATTTCTATTCGTAATGAGGGTGGTCACAGAACACTTGTGGAGGTTTAACTGTGGTCCGTGGTCGATCCCTTATTCTTTGTTCTAAAGCTAAACGGAATGCCTTCCGAAATAGGGGGTAACTGACAAGCTTTGCTAAAATGAAGCTTTCCTAGATCCGAAGTTACCTGTTGCAGAGTTAGACAACCGGTTCAATGGTATCATTGGTATACCAGAGACTCACAGGAAAGGACGAAAAACAAAGCGCACTCGTTTGTTTGTGTGAGTTCATATCCCTTACGGTGTTTACTGTGGTCAGGGGGAGCCCATGCCGTTGTTGATGCGAAAAGAAGTTTAAATAAAAACATCTTTCAGAACAAAAGTAATTATAACAAACAGTGCTACACAATCCAGCCCAGCCCAAGCAGTCACTTTGTAAGCTAAACAACAGCTTTGCAGTAGATCTAGCCTAATGATATAGTTGTAAACTAAAAATTGTGTCCATGGCAAAGAGATTTTCCCAAATGCACCAACTCCAATTGAGCTTTTTGGTTTTATCTATGTAGATTGAGGTTCCCATCAAAAACTCATCGCTGCTTTTGAAAATCACATAGCAGACAGGCAAGTCACGAGAAACCACTAAATGGCTGCTTTCACAGTCCGCCGACCGGCGCCGGCACGCCCGCGGACTATGAAAGCAGCCAATGGTAACGATGAATTCGCCAACTCCGATAGTCCTAGGAGATTTTCAAAAATTTTCTCTAGGAAAAAAATGAACTGTTTCCTCAGCTGCATTTTATTTAAACGTATTAATTTCGGTATCACACCCATGATACCGCTTCACTGAACAGCAGCACCATGGATCACTGAAGGTCAACACTATGACAGTTCATAGTTCAGGGTATAGCCAACAAGTTCAACCGCCACCACTACATCACAACCGAAGCGGGCATACTGCGCGCTCTTCGAAGAGTTCAATGCACAGTCAAAACCTAAACATCTCATTGGTGTTTATGTGTTGGTGATTATGTCAAATTACAGGACGCATATCATACCAAACTTTATTTATTTCTCGTACTAAAGTACAAATAAGATAGGGTG